GCCGGTGCTACACTCCCCTCCTACCCTGGCCAAGCAACCGGGAGAGGCAAAGGACACGGAGGATAGACAGGGGAACGAGGAGGAGTAAGATTTGTACCTCCGTTGCGCCGGAATCCAAGCCGAATCGCGTCGCCGCCTAGATCCAAATCGCCGCCGCCTCCGCCGCTTCTTCTATCGGGTGAGGGGGTTGTGAGGGTATCAGGTGAGGGGGTGAGATAAGAAGGAAACGAAAACCCATTCGCGTGCCGAGCGGTAATCGAAGCGGGAAAAAGAGGCGCTCGCACGCTTGTGGCTGCCCTTGTCCATGAGAATTTCGCAACTTTCCTTAGCCAGGTTTTGGGAGAATATTCGACAGTATCTGGCTATCCGTATCCTCCCTGGCTGGTCAACCAAATGGGTGGCATCCCTAGCAAAATGGGCTATCCCTGTCCCTAGGGTGGATAGCCACACAACCAAATGCCACCATAGTGCTATTCAAACACTAACGTTTTTTTTTAAATTCGAGCCAATGAGAGGAGCATGACGAGCAGCAGCGGTGGTGCGGAGCTTCAGCGCCTCTCCAGATCTAATCGAATGCGGAGGAGGAGGACTGGAGTCTGGAGAGGGATTGGAGAGGCGCAGATAGTGTCAGATACGATTTGGCTTTATTGTTCCGGTATAGCGTGGGGAAATAGTTTCGAAGTGGGGACGGGGCGAAATTCCACATGCGCAGTGGGGCCGGAAGGCTCGGATCCAGACACATGCAGGAGCGGACGAGATTACCGTTGCGAACCGAACGCGAACGTGAAAGCCTTTATCAATTGTGGGCGTTCTGTTAGGGCTCGCCGTGTGCCGTGCACGTCAGAGCGCTTCATGGGCATGGCTAGAGTGTGCAGACCATGGGCGCGTGAAAGTACGAGGCGTGGGTTCGTGCCCTGGTGCCGGCCCTGGGTATAAGACCCATGCGGTGACCGTGGGATGAGTTTGTTGCTCGCGAAAAATTGCTGTTGTGCCGTGGGCGTTCGTGCGCCGAAAACCACCGAGTCCACCATCTGCTCCACTCCTTCTTCCTCCCATTCGATTCGAGCAAGAGAGAGGCGTCGGTGGGAGAGATGTGGAGTGACGGTGACTAGGGAAAGGGTTTGCGCCAACCACCGGCTTTGTCGATTCAGCTCCGGGATGCAGTCGCTTTTGGGAGAGAAGAAACGAGTGGATGAGCAGACACGAGAAGAGCAAGTCTACCGCAAGCGGTGTGTGGCCACCAGCAAACGACGCGATGCTAGCACGAATCGTTAGGCTAACTTAGACTAGCTAGTAACATGCACATGTTATTAGTCTATATTAGTGTCATAGGTGTAGTCACATAGATGTCTTCATTTTTTTTAGGGAAATTAGCCATCATGGCGGTTTATATTTCATGTGAAAAAAAGCTACATCGTTTGAAAGTACATGGAGCAAAAAGTCAGGAGCCTCATCCCAAACAATTGTTCGTGAGGGCTCTGACTTTGTAGCCAACAAATCTGCCGCCATATTGGCCTCCCTAGGACAATAATGAAAACTAATAGAAGTAAAATTACGACAAAGAAAGTAACATTCCTCTTATATTTCTGCGCTAGGCCGAGAGAGTTTCCGCCGCTGTTTATGATTTCAATCACCTCATACAGTCAGCTTCAATCTCCAGCTTGTTGCAACCAACATTACTTGCCAGTATGAGTCCGTCCTTCAAACCACGGGCTTCATCCGTCGCTGCATCCTCTACGAAGGGGATATTGCTGCATGAAGCCGCAATGAAAGCACCATATTCATCTCGGATAATAGCACCCGAACCCCCCGTACCGCTGTCGACATCAAAGGATGCATCACAGTGAGTTTGACAAAACTGCTCAGCGGTCTCTTCCATCCATGTCTTATGATCCGGCATGTACCCATCTTTTTTGCTCGCGCAATTTTTTTGTTAGAGTTGCAATAGCTTGTGCAGATCTTGCAGGCTCTTGTAACATTTCCCCATGAGTAAATCTCCTCCTTTCCCACCATATGTACCACACAGCCACTGCTATTAAATCCTTCCTGTTAACATCAGGTAGCGAGGGAATATTAGTGCACGACATTAGCAGCAGGTCACCAAGGACCGAAGCACCTTCCCTCTCTGTACTACACAGCCCAAAAATTGTCTCAGCCATACCCAGTTTTCCCAAATGAGTTGGACACGTGTGCATTTAACAAATGCGTGATGTATACTTTCATAATCTGTAGAGCAAATTGGATATTGCGAACTGGTAATCATATGCCTGTTCACAAGGATGCCACGAAAAGGAATCGCACCATACAACACCCTCCATAGGTGAATCTTAACTTTGGTCGGCACTCGAAGTCTTCAAATAATCCTCCAAACTGGACTAGTACTTGAGGACATCATCAAATTTGTTTGCCTCAACTTTCGTCCATGTTGGTAATCCCACTCCATATGATAAGCAGTTCTGACTGAAAAAATTCCACTTCTTTCATAGTGCCATGAAACAAAATCCTCCATCATCCCCATGGCTAAGGGAATGTTTAGAATTCTTTGCGCGTCAGTAGGCCAAAAAATATCTCTAATGAGCTGCTCATCCCACTGTCTTTCATCTATATTGATTAACTCAGAGACCCTAGTAATGACTATATTACCTCTAGGGGTCATCACCTTCCTGCTTGGGCTACTAGGAACCCAGGGATCATCCCATATGCTAATTTGTGTGCCATCCCCTACTCTCCAACTATGGCACCTCTTGAAACTTTGAATACCACTCCACAAACTTTCCCACGTATAGGAACTACCTTTTTTGAGAGGACAATTTAGGAGGTCACCATCATCAAAGTATTTTGCCTTTAGAACTCTTGCACATAAAGAATTTGGCTCTGCCAAAAGTCTCCAACATTGTTTAGCAAGTAAAGCCATATCAAAATAGTGCAAGTCTTTAAAACTCATACCTCCTTTGCTCTTTGAGATGCACATTTTCCACCATGCAAACCAATGCATATGCTTCTTCACATCCTCATCACCCCACCAGTATTGGGACATAGCAGTAGTTACCCCATTGCATACTTTTTTAGGTAATTTGAATACTAACATGGCATACGACGGTATGGCTTGAATAATGGCCTTTAATAATATTTCCTTTCCTCCAAAAAATAGCATTTTTCCTTCCATCCTTTAATTCTGTTCAGAACTCTATCCACCAAGTGCTGAAAATTGTCGGTTCTGTCCACCCCAACTATGGGGTTAGACCCAAATACTTATCTGTAATTGCTTCCACCATAATATTCAGGGTTGTGCAAACTTCAGCCCTCACCTCCACCGGGGTACACAGACTGAAAAAGATACTTGATTTTGCCTCACTCACCAGTTGTCCCGAAGCTGCACAGTAATCATCTAGTGCATGGAGAAGGCTAGTAGCGTTGGAGACGTCCGCTCTCATTAGGATGAGAGAATCATCAGCAAACAGGAGATGGGATACCGCTGTTCCATTCCTGCCCCACCAAATTGCCCGTTTCCTCCTCATGGACAAGTAAGCCTAATAGTCCTTTCGCACATAGTAAAAACAAATATGGTGAGAGAGGGTCTCCCCGTCGAAGACCCCTGTGTAGGCAGGAAATAATTTGTAAGTGAGTTATTAATCCGCACCTAGTATCTTATAGACTGAACACACTCCATAATTAGAGCAACCCAATCAACAGAGAAGCCTAGTCGAAGCAGGACCCTCTCCACAAAAACCCACTCGACCCTATCATAAGCCTTGTGCATATCCGGTTTTACCGCACAAGTACCATATTTACCTTTACTCTTCCTCTTATTAGCATGATAAGACTCAAAAGCCACCAAAAAATTATTTGTAATCAAGCGCCCAGGGACAAAGGCGCTTTGATTGGGCAATATGATTTATGGTAAGAGATACTTGAGACGATTGGCCAATAATTTTGAAATTACCTTATAAACCACGTTACACAAACTTATCGGCCAAAATTGTGTTATAACTTCCGGCCTGACAACCTTTGGAATAAGAACAATAGTGGTGTCGTTCCACCCTTCTGGAATTTTTCGGTTGTTTACAGCCAGCAGCTCTTCATCAATTAA